AGTGCATAACGTTATTTTTGTCAATATTTAGGTGCTCGTGTAATAATGGCGTGTAGAAGCGCGTCCAGGACACAAGACGCGATAGATAGCATAAAGAATCAAACAGAAGGGGATAATAACGTTGGAGAGTTGGTTTTTAAGCATTTGGAATTGTCGTTTTTGGCGTCCGTGAGAAAATGTGCTAAAGAGATATTGTACACGGAGAAACGAATCGATATCCTAGTAAACAATGCTGGTGAGTCTTGTTGTGGACATTATAAGTAAATATTGTGGATTGTAATTTATTTTTATGATTTATAAGTTGCTAAATTTTTCGATGTTTCACATTCGAACCTCAATAAATAATAATATCATATTATAAAATATTATTGTTACCATTTATWAATTATAATGTCAATAAAATTATTTGCGATTTGCGTGCAGGTATAATGATGTGTCCGAAAACGCTGTCGGAGAACGGAATCGAACTCCATTTGGCTACCAACCATTTGGGTCATTTTCTGTTTACGCTCTTGTTGCTGCCCAGAATATTGARATCAGCTCCTGCCAGGATAATCAATGTGACTTCGTTGGCTCACAAATGTACGTAAATAATTGCAGTATATTATTGGTTTTATAATATTATAATTTATGCTGTGTTATCACCGTTAACAAAAGTAGTCAATTTAATAAATTAGTCGACCTAAAAAAATTGACTAATAACAGAGAGAGAGAGAGAGAGAGAGAGAGTAGGTCCAAAGGCCAACATTATTAGAAAAAATATAGCATTTAACTTAGGTCTATTTATATACCTATAAAAGAGAAAGAAAACAAGTTCAAAATAACTAGGATAACGCCGTTTTTTTAATAAWGATAAAATACACTTTAGGTCCTATTATGCACTTCAGATATTGAACATCTCTTTCAAACAATGTCGACACTTAGTAGGACGTGGGGGCAAACGCGCAGCCCATGTGTTAATAAATAATCTAATAAGTCTATGATCTTTTAGCGCATTTAAAATTTAAAATTTAAGGGGATTGCAAATGGACAGTAATGAGTTCAATATAGAACATGTTTTAATRCTATTCATGCGTGTATTGTAAATGTGTGGGTAATAAGTGATCATTATTATTAGTGTGTTACTGTATAGAGTATATAGAGTAACGTACGCGCACGTATACAAGTCACCACACTGGCGTCGTTTGTGTAAGTGGTAAACAATTTAGTATATTAATTTTAATATACTTTTTGTCAATCCTACTGACAGACCTGATAATGCGATAAGATTTTTAAAAATTTGATTTTAAAATGGATCAGATCACCTTTGAGGATTTTTAAATTAAATTTCATATAATCAACATTTAAGATGTAATAAATTTAAAATGTTCACACAAAATAGACATTTGAAAACAACATTTAAGAAAAATTACCTGATTTATATGAAATACATATAAATATATAATACTAAATTAAAATCGATTTTGTATTTTGCATTACTAGATCCATCGGTATGATTGACAACATTTTGGTATATTTTAGTTGAAATAACTGACCGTTTGCAATTCGCTTAACAACATATGCCAAATATGCATTATTCTAATAATCCCGCACAGGGGGTGATCAAAAAATGCATTTCGACGACATAAACCTGGACAAGGACTACACGCCTAGCGGGGCGTACGGCCGCTCCAAGTTGGCCAACATTTTGTTCACAGTGGAACTGGCCAAACGCTTAAATGGTAAGTTCGGTAACCTACGTGCARTAACCACAGAACGTGGACTATAGAKACTAGTGCATTTTGTATAAACATAAAATATTATACCGAGTTTTTTATTAAAATGTGTAGGTACTGGAGTGACGGTATACGCGGTCAATCCAGGTATCGTCCACACCGAACTCAGTCGGTATGTCGATCAGACCATCTTTCCTGGTGCATCGTGGCTGTACAACAGTTTTACCAAAATCGCAGTCAAAACGCCCCAACAAGGTGCTCAGACCACGTTATACTGCGCTCTGGACGAGAAATGTACCAGTGAAAGCGGCTTATATTACAGGTATAGGATCGATGACACCAGACACACCACATGCCGCGCATAATATAAGGAGGGGGGCTTGGTTTTAATTTAAAATAACAATTATCAGGGTCTGTGCTACTAATGCAATTTTAGCCCCCCTTCCTAGAATAATTTCCCGWGTTCCGCTTATGTGATACAAAAATATTAGGTACAATATARCTCCTTTTTGGATCAATCTATAATATATTATACCAACTGGCAACTGCGCATAATTATCGTACAAATAACGCGTTTTATATTTAAAGAACAAACTCGAATTGTTTTTGTTTATGCGACTTAATATATACACTACCTTTCATATTAGTTTGGTCCCTTAAATAATATGTATATAAAACGGTTCTTAATTCTGAATTATTTTTTTGGCATTTTTTCAGCGATTGTAAAGTACAGGAACCAGAACCTGCGGCCAAAGACGAAGAAGTCAGTGCAAAGTTGTGGGACACTAGTTGCGCTATTGTTCGTTTAGATCCTTCAATAGATCCTTTTAAGCCGGAGAGCGATGACGCATGACATATCGATTTAACACCGCACATTTTATTAACCGTGGAATATTTTCTACGACGATATTGTACACAAACATTAAGTTATTTTTTTTTTAGGTTTTATTGATTTAATTTATATATTTATGTACCTATAAATAATAATTATGTACTTATTATTATAACTTCTAATAATAATAATTTATGTGTATTGATTTCATATTAAATGTGAAATGTATATAATAGGTATATGAAATTT